GGGCTCCAAATTCAAAGTTCTAATTCGGTTCTTTAGATTCCTCCGTCACCAAAAGGTTGAAACGAGATCCAAGCTCTACGTTCATGGGTGGAATTTTGGCGGTCTGTGTCTTATCTATCGTGTCGTGCTGTTCGTCCGTTCATGGGGCTGCAAAGTGTAGAGACAGTCGTGGCTCGAATTTCCAATTCGGCCGCATTGAAAGCAAATGATAGGCAAATTCTCGTAGGCCACTCGCTGTAGCCGCCCATTAATGGTAAAATTGACACATAATGGCTTCGTTAAATCGACCATGACCGCAAGTCTAGCATATTTCCCTTGGGTAAGCGCAACAGCTTGTTGATCAATTTTAACAACCTTGCCCACAATTCGGCCAATGGTACGAAATATCTTCTTATGATATAGGTGAGCCGGCATGCCGGGCGGCCTTATCCATGCTACCGTAGTCGTTAATTTCTCCTTCGTGCCTCAAAATCAAGAGTCCATGGTTGTACGTGCATATAACTCCCTCCTACTACGTATGGTCCACCAGTGAGTACCCAAATCTTGTCGTCATGAGTACGAAAGTGAACCAGATAAAACCCATTCTCGAGGTCCATCATATTGCACCCCCGACATGAAAGGCCACATCTTCGTGAGTCGATTATATAAAGAAGGCATAGTGAGAGACTCATCAAAAGGTTTGAGCACCACTGCATATTGCCATTCTGCGTTAATTTGATCGAAAAAACGCTTCGCAATCTTAACTCTGGCGTAGGGCATGAGAAGTCCACATACACATACTCCTCCCCCCAATATCCACTCCTTCGTCTTCAGAGGTCAAGTCCAAGTGATTTTTGTGCTTATTAACCATACCACAGAAGGTCCACCACTGAGGTGGTGGCTCTTGGTGGAAGGCCGCCGAAAATTTTGGGGTCGGAGGGTCCTGTTGAGGCGGGGCCTCCTCACATCTCTTACGTATTTTTGGTCGTTTAGATGCTGGCAGAAGGTTACGATTCAGAGGCGAAAACTCTAGGTCATTAATCCCTGGATTCCAGGTGAATCCCGGATCGAAAGTGGCTGGGTCGTCGGTAGGTTCGACGAGAGCACTGGGCGCATTTTCTGTCATTAGGGTTCTAAGATTGAGTTGTCTTATGGCATAGACATTTTAACATTGACACTCATACATTGGAGATGCTATAATATATTGAAGTGCTTGACTATAATTTATCCTGATATATATAAAAACATGGAAAAACTACATAATAAATGTACATAGAAGTGTACATAACACTCACACGGAGTGGGGTCCACTTGATTTTTTTATTTTTGATGGGTATCATTCATGTGAGTGTTATGTACACCTGTATGTACAATATTAGATACTTATAGCATTACTCTAAAAACATTATCTTGCAGGAATCCTTGTGGGGAACAGGTCCAATCTGAAATTACTACAACTAATTATGAAAATGCACATTACTTTGACTAATCTTGGCCAGCAGTGTAGCAACAACAATATTCGCACAAAAGCTTTTTCTTAGGGTACTTAATTTAGAGAGTGCTTGCAAAAAAAATTAAAATTTATATGAAAAGCAAAAGAGGATGTTAAAGAGCTTCTGTATTTATATGCAGAGTTTATTTAAAAATCATTAGTGGGAAAGCATGAGTTCCATTCACCACTCCAAAAAATCATTGAGGTAATTCAAAGTGTTCTCATTTTTGCAATGATTTCGAACACTACTTGCCAAACTAAAGCAAATTATATTCGCAATAAATATATGAATAAATACACTTTGACTGTTTAACTATGAAAATTTATACTTTGCCTACAAAACTAT